CAGCCTCCCAAAGGCGCGGGATTACAGGCTGAGCCACTGAGCCCGGCTAATAGTTGTATTTTTGAGCTGATTATTTTTTAGTACATGCTTGACAAGCCATGTATAGTATGGTTTATTGTAATTCTAATTGCTCATTAGAGACATTCTGTATTAAGGTTTAACAAAGTGGACTATTTCTAAATGATGTATAAATTAAATTGTTTAATATTGTGGCGCATACCTGTAGTTCCAGCTACTTGGAAGGCTGAAGCGGAAGGATCGTCTGAGCCCAGCATGTCAAGACTGCAATGGCCATGAGCGTGCCATTGCACTCCAGCCTGGGTAGCAGAGTGAGACTCCAACTCAAAAAAAATTAAAAATAAAATGAAAATAAAAACCTTTAGAGGAACATAACTTTGTAGAAACAGAGTTTGAAACCTAGGGCAAGATACTTATTTCAAGCTATTTGAAATGCAGTTAAATTTTATTACAAGCTGGGCTCAGTGGCGCAGCCTGTAATCCCGCGCCTTTGGGAGGCTGAGGTGAGTGGATTGCCTGAGCCTGCGGGTTTGAGACCCTCCTGAGCAGCGAGACCTCATCTCTACAATAAATCAAAAAATCAGCCGGGCGTGGTAGCGCATGCCTGTAATTCTGGCTGCTTGGAAGGCTGAGGCGGAAGGATTGCCGGAGCCCAGCAGGTCGAGGCTGTGGTTGCCGGAAGCAGCCACTGCACTCCGGTCTGGGCAACAGAGTGAGACTCCAACTCAAAACAAAAAACAAAACAAAACAAAATTTTATTACAATAGAAGAATTTGAATAGTTCTTTGTCTAATGGATTTTTTTTTTTTTAGTTGGATTCTCACTCTGTCACTCAGGCTGAAGTGCAGTGGCACACTCATGGGCACCCCAGTGTCGACCTGCTGGGCTCCAGCAATCCTTCCCCTTCAGCCTTTCAAGTAGCCGGAGCTACAGGCGTGTGCTACCTCCTCGCCTGGCTAATTTTTTATTTATTGTAGGTACGAAGTCTTGCCAAGTTGCTTGGGCTGGTCTTGAACCCATGAGCTCAGGCAGTCCACTTACCTTGGCCTCCCAAAGTGCTGGGATTACAGACTTAGCCACTGAGCCCGGCCTGTCTAATGAAATTTTATTTAATTTTTTGGATCCTTAAGAAATAACAATTTTATTATCTTATTATTTTATCATATAGTATTTGTTACTTATTTAAAATTATTAATATCACTAATATTTATTAATAACATGAATACTAGCTATTATGATTAACACATTAACATTTTATTCCATGCAGTGCCTGACATAATAAGCATTAAAAGCATTATTGTAATAATTACTCTTACATGGTGTGTGTCGGGTAAGCTTTTTTTCTTTTTTTTTTTGAGTTGGAGTCTCACTCTATCACCCAGACTAGAGTGCAGTGGCCACTCCCGGACACTGCAGCCTCAACCTGCTGGGCTCCGGTGATCCTTCCGCCTCACCCTTCCAAGTAGCTGGAACTACAGGCGTGTGCTACCACACCCGGCTAATTTCTTGATTTATTGTAGAGATGAGGTCTCGCCAAGTTGCCCAGGCTGGTCTCGGACCCAGGGCTCAGGCAGTCCACTCACCTCAGTCTCACAAAGGCACAGAATTACAGGCTGAGCCACCAAGCCCGGCAGCTTTTTTTTTTTTTTTTTTTAGTCAGTCTCACTCTGTCCAGGCTGGAATGCAGTGGCACATTCATGGTCACCAAGCCTCAACCTGCTGGGCTAAGGTGGTCCTTCCAACTCAGCCTTCAAGTAGCTAGAACCACAGGTGCGCACCAATGTGCACAACTAATTATTTTCTTTATTGTAGAGATGAGGTCTCACCAAGTTGCCCAGACTGGTCTCGAACCCCTGGGTTTAGGCAGTCCTCTCGCCTTTGCCTCCCAAAGTGCTGGGATTACAGATGCAAGCCACCATGCCTGGCCTGTGCTAAACTCTTTATGTACATGATCTCATTTACTCTTACAACAGCTCTATAAAGTAGGTATGTTTTTCCTAGTTCTACATATGAGAAACTGGAGTCTCCAGTAGTTAAATAATTTGCTTAAGAAACAGGCAGGGCCAAGCTCGGTGGCTCAGCCTATAATCCCAGCACTTTGGGAGGCCAAGGTGAGTGGATTGCCTGAGCCTGCGGGTTTGATACCGGTCCAGGCAGCTTGACAAGACCTCGTCTCTATAATAAATCAAAATTAGCCAGCCGTGGTAGCACGCGCCTGTAGTTCCAGCTACTTGAGGCTGAGGCAGAAGGATCGCCAGAGCCCAGCAGGTTGACGCTGGGATGTCTGTGAGTGTGCCACTGCACTCCAGCCTGGGCGACAGAGTGAGACTCCAACTCAAAAAAAAACAAGAAACAGGCATAACTAAAATTTAGGCCAGTGTTCATTGCCATGATTTCTGGTACTTAACCTTGCTCTTACTCATTAGTGTGTAATCTGATCTGAATAGCAAAATGAGTACAGTAATTCCTCTGTTAAAGTTGTCTATAGAGTCTTAGAAACGGCTACTTTAAGTCAAGTGCAGTGACTTATGCCTGTAATCCTGTCACTTTGGGAGGCTAGGGCAGGAGTATCACTTGAGTCTAGCAGTTCAAGACCAGCCTATGCAATGTAACAAGACCTTGTTTCTATAAAAAAAATTAGCTGGATGTGGTGGTGTGCACCTGTAGTCCCAATTACTTCAGAGGGTAAACAGGGAAGATTTCCTGAGCCCTGGAGGTCAAGACTGCTGTGAGCCATGATTGTGCTGTTGCGCTCCAACCTGGGTGACAGAGTGAGACCAGACTCAAAAGAAAGAAACTGCTACTTTAATTGAAAGGACACACAGCAGGTCTTCAAGGAACATCATTTCATTCAGTGTCTTTTAATTTTTATACTTTTTTTTAAGGGACGATGTCTTACTGTGTTGTCTGGGATGGTCTTGAATTCCTAGCCTCAAGCTATCCTCTCTACTAGCTGGGATTATAGGTGAGCCACTGTGTATGGCATCTCTTTTCTCTCTCCTCTCTCCTCTCTCCTCTCTCCTCTCTCCTCTCTTCTCTCTTCTCTCTTCTCTTTGACAGGGTCTTGCTCTGCCACCCAAACTAGAGTTCCGTGGTGAAATCACAGCTCACTGCAATCTTGAACTCCTGGGCTCAAGTGATCCTCCTGCTTCAGCCTCCCAATTAACTGGGATCACAGACATAACCACTGTGCCTGGCTAGTTTTTATTTTTTTTTGTAGAGACGGCATCTTGCTCTGGCTGGTCTCGAGCTCCTGGCCTCAAGTTATTCTCCTGCCTCAGCCTCCCAAAGTGCTGGGATTAGAGGCATGAGCCACCCGTGTTCAGCCTCAATATCTTTTCATTCAATGTCATTTTTAATAGTGTTGGAGAAAAAAAAATTGTTTTGTGATACATCCTTTAGCTTACTGCAGTTTTTAAGAACCTACAACATTAAGTAAGGACTTACTGTAATTCCTAGAATTATTTCTTAATTAATAGCATGCCTTTTCTGTTTAGTAGCTTTCTTAGACATTTTACATTTATTTCTACTGGGACATCGTTGGAACAAAGTCAAAATTTGGTAAAGCCATTCACTGTTTACTAAACCTGAATCTTAAGAATAGAGATATAATACAGCTTTGCAATTTGGTCTGTCAAATATGATAAGCATATATATGTTAAACTTCATCTTTTTTTTTTTTTGAGTTGGAATCTCACTCTGTCGCCCAGGCTGAAATACAGTGGCACTCTCATGGCCACCGCATCCTCAACATCCTGGACTCAGGCTGTCCTTTCACCTCAGCCTTCTAAGTAGCTGGAACTACAGGCACATGCCATCACGCCCAGCTAATTTTTCTTGACTTATTTTAGAGATGAGATATCACCAATTGCCCAGGCTGGTCTCAAACTCGTGAACTGAGACAGTCCTCTCATCTCTGCCTCCCAAAATGCTGGGATTATAGGCATGAGCCATTGTGCCCAGCCAAACTTCATTATTTTATTTTATTTTTTTTTGAGTTGGAGTCTAACTCTGTCACCCAGACTAGAGTGCAGTGGCTGCTCCCGGCCACCACAGCCTCAACCTGCTGGGCTCCAACTATCCTTCCACCTCAGACTTCCAAGTAGCCGGAATTACAGGCATGCGCTACCACGCCTGGCTGATTTTTTTGATTTATTGTAGAGATGAGGTCTCACTACCCAGGCAGGTCTCGAACCCGCGGGCTCAGGCAATCCACTCACCTCAACCTCCCAAAGGCGCGGGATTACAGGCTGAGCCACCAAGCCCGGCTAAACTTCATTATTTTTAACGCATTTACTTTTTATACAATTATGTAGCAATGCTACATTCTATTTCTCTCTTCTTGTTGTATACTTATAAAATTCAAACACATCATATTTTATATAATATTGATCGATGCCTTTTGGAAACAATATGTGATATTTATCCACATAACCTGAGTGTAGGTTCAAACTTTCTTATTAGGTACACATGTGACTTTGAGGAAATTATTTAACTTCAGCAGTCCTCATTCCTTCATCTGTAAAGTAAGAATGATAATTCTACCTACATCATAGGATCGTAATAAAGGTTAAAGGAGATATTTGATGTAAAGTATTCCACACAGTGCCCGACATAAGACCCCATGTCTATTAAAAGAAGTGATAATTGCACCACTACACTCCAGCCTGGGCAACAGAGGGAGACCTTGTCTCTAAACAAAAAAAAGAAAATATTACATTTCTATAATCTGCATGAATTCTATGATTTAATGTATGGAAAAATTAAAAGTAGGAAAATAGAAATTGCATATAGAGCTGTAAACCATACTTTACAGAAATTTGTAGTAAAAGAGAACCTCTCTGTTTTCATCAAAAAGCATATTGGTAAATGGTTAATGTTTTTCTTCTGTTTTATATTCTTCACAGAAAATTTGTGGAAAGGGAACTGTTCAAGCCTGACGAGGTACCTGAAAGACATAATTTATCTTTTTTTCCAACTGTAAATGATATAAAAAATCACATCCATGAAGTACAGCAATCCTTGAGAAATGGAGATACAGTATATAACCCAGAGATTATTCCAGCAACGGTATGATTACAACCACAGTTCCTTATTTAATATTGAATCTTTCTTAGCTTCTATTAATTGACATAATGAGGATAGTTACCATTAGACCATCTGAATAACTGTGATAGTAGAAAAAATAATGGCATCTTTTTCTTAAAATGTAAATACTATCAGATAACAGCTTGACTAAAATTTTTTTATTATTCTCACAAGAAGAAAAATCAGTGAATTCTTAACTCTGACTATAATAAAATGACTTTTAAATCAGCACAATTTTTCTCTGTAAAAATTATATCTTTATTTAACAGACATTTATTAAGCACATGCTGTGTATGAATTCCCATATTTTAAATAGATGGGCAAATTTAAATAGAATTATTCACTCTTGACCACTCAAAATCATGATGTTCCTTATGCCATCTGTGGATATTAGTTTTACCTCATACTTTTAGGCAGGAAATACAGGGATTTGAGGTGGTTTCTGCCTGAATGTTAGTCATTTCTATGAAAATTTCACCTGCTTTGAAGAGATAACTATAATTACCCACCAGAAACTACTAATTATAATACAGGCAGTGATTTTGCATAAAAACCTAAAAAGCAGTAGCCTTTGCTCTCCTAACTTTTCCTGTCCAAATTCAGTAACTGAATAGATTTTGTATTTTTTTTAAGCTAGGACTGCTATTCATAATTCATAATTACTCACTCTAAGGGTTAGCAGTAGTCTTTGTCATCTACACTTGCTATCCAAATTCTTAATATATGTGAATAATGAAATATATTTTTGCTTGAATGTGAACAGGTGAAGAGAATTATTGCAGAATAAAGCATATTTACATTTTCAATAAAATATGACAGTTACACTGATGTTTTAAGATACTTATTTTAATATAAATGCTTTATTTTTACTGAAATAAATGTTCCCATTTCAGCTTCAGTGGACTACAGACAGTGGGAATATTCTTAAAGAGGCTGTTACAGTTACCTTTGCAGAAGGTAGGTTATCTTGAATACCTTTAAAATATAAAATCAGGTCAGGCTTAGTGTCTCAGCCTATAACCCCAGCACTTTGGGAGGGCGAGGCAAGTGGATTGCCTTAGCCTGTGGGTTTGAGACCAGCCCAGGCAACTTGGCGAGACTTGTCTCTACAATAAAATAAAAAATAACCAGGCATGGTAGTGCACGTCTGTAGTTCTGTTCCGACTACTCAGAAGGCTGAGGTGGAAGGATTGCCAGAGCCCAGCAGGCCGACGTTGGAGTGGCTGTGAATGTGTATGCCACTGCACTCTATCCAGCCTGGGCTAAGGAGTGAGACTCCAACTAAGGAGTTGGAGTCTCACTCCTTAGCATATATATGTATGTATGTATGTATGTATGTATATAAAATCAGTGTTAAAAATGGAACAGACTGGACAACCCCTATGGGTCCCCTACCACTGTGGGAGCTTTTCTGTCCTCTCAATAAATCTTTCTTTTAAAAAAAAACGGAACAAACTTAAGATATTATCAGCTAGGCATAGTGGTTCATGCTTGTAATCCCAACACTTTGGGATGCTGAGACAGGAGGATTGCATAAGGCCAGGAGTGCAAGACCATCCTGGACAACTTAGCAACTTGTCTCTACCAAGACAAAAACAAAAAACGAATTAGCCTGGCATGGATCACTTAAGCTCTGGAATTTGAGGTTATAATGAGCTATGGTTGCACCACTGCAATTCAGCCCAGACAAAGTGAGATCCTGTCTCTAAAAAAAATTTTTTTTAGTGTCTTATCTAATTTTATAGGCAAGGAAACCAGGACCCAAAGAGGGAAGAGCAACTATGTTAGGGTTTATCAAAATATTTCTCACTATTTAAATTTCCTCTTCTCAGCTTTTATGCTTTTTTTATGAACTGAAATTTCTAAGCTGATTGCTAGCACAGTGAATTGTGGCTGACTTACCAGAAGGCTAATTCCAGTAGTAATAACCATAAAATTACCTTGATATGGGAACTATTGTCTATTTTGTATGGTTTGCTTTTTCTCATCTGTTCTTTTTTATTGCTATTTTTCTTACTATTCCAGTCTTATTTCAATCTTTTTGCATATGTTCTCTCTTCTGGAAATTTATTTTCTTTTTTTTTTTGAGTTGGAGTCTCACTCTGTCGCCCAGACTGGAGTGCGGTGGCCGCTCCCGGCCACCACAGCCTCGACCTGCTGGGCTCCGGCGATTCTTCCGCCTCAGCCTTCCAAGTAGCCCTGATTTCAGGCATGCGCTACCACGCCCGGCTGATTTTTTTATTTATTGTAGAGGTGAGGTCTCGCTGCCCAGGCAGGTCTCGAACCCACAGGCTCAGGCAATCCACTCACCTCAGCTTCCCAGGCTAAGCCACCGAGCCCGGCTGGAAATTTATTTTCTACATGGCAACCTTCTCTTACTCTTCAAATAACAATCTCTTTGGTTTCAAGTGCTCTCTTAACTTTAGCCCCTATATAAAGTTAGCTGTTTATTCTTTTGTATTTAATATGATAACCTTTTGTTGATGTGTCTGTATTTTTCATAATGATTCAAGCCTTTCAGGGACAAGGATTGTATTTTTGTTGTTGTTGTTGTTTTTGTTTGTTTGTTTTGGGTTTTTTTGAGTTGGATTCTCACTCTGTTGCCCCGACTGGAGTGCAGTGGCACACTCCTGGCCACCAGTGATCCTTCCGCCTCAGCCTTCCAAGTAGCTGGAATTGCAGGCGTGCGCTACCACACCCGACTAGTTTTTGATTTTATTGTAGACACAAGGTCTCGCCAAGTTGCCCTGGCAGGTGTCGAACCCGCGTACTCAGGCAGTCCACTCACCTTGGTCTCCCAAAGTGCTGGGATTACAGATTGAGCCACCGAGCCTGGCCGAAGGATTGTATTTTATTCAAATTACTATAGTGAGTGCATGTTCAAATTAATGAACCTAGCACCTAGCATGGTGCCTGCTAAAAAGTTTACACCTAATTAAATTATCTAAAATCAATTAATAGCTGTATATAATAATAGCAAAATATTTTTTTTTATTCTTCCACGTACTTAACCTTTAATAAGAGTCACTTTGCCTACAGAATAGGTTTCAAATTCATAGTGTTATTCATTTATCCTGCACATATTTCGCTCACTGTGCTCAATGATGAGCACAGAAAAGAATGGATAAGTTTCCTGCCGTATGGAACTTAAAGTTTAGCAAGCGAAAAAAAGCACATTAAATAAATATATACTGCCGGGCATGGTGGCTCATACCTGTAATCCCAGCACTTTGGGAGGCTGAGACAAGATGATTGCCTGATCCCATGGGTTTGAGATCAGCCTGGGCTAGAGTGCAGTGGCACGCTCATGGGTATCACATACTCCACCTCCTGGGCTCAGGAAATCCTTCTGCCTCAGCCTTCCAAGTAGTTGGAGCCACAGGTATGTGCCACTACGCCCAACTAGTTTTTGATTTATCGTAGAGACAAGGTCTAGCCATATTGCCCAGGCTGGTCTCAAACCCCTGGACTCAGGCACTACTCTCGTCTCTGCTTCCTAAAGTGCTGGGATTACAGGTGTGACCCACCACCCCTGATTTAAGAGTTATTTTTTTTAAGTAGACTTCAAAGACCTTGGTTACTGATTGACTAGGTATGGGAAGTGTTAGGGCATGCTCCCAGCGGGGCCACTGGAATGTTAGGGCAGGCCCACTTGGGGTGTAGGGTGTCTGGTGTGCAATCCAGTGCTGCATGAAAGATGCAAAGAATTGCACAGAAGTTATATTAGAAAGTATAGTTTTTTAAAAAAGTAAATTAGAGAGAGAGAGAAAGAGAAAGAGGAGACTCAGCTCCCCAAGGTAGGGAAGGGAACCAAAGCCAAGAAACATGGTGATGACCATAGCTCAAAGAGCACATGGCCACACCAGAATCTAGTAAGGCAGTGGCAAAATGACTGCTCGTGGTTGAGTCCTTTTAACCATTTCCCTTGGATGGGGTAAGGTCATTAAAGTGATTGTGTGGTGGTCTGTTGCACGTTATCACAAAGGGGCAGGTAAGCGCAGGTACTGATGTCAGGTGGTGGACAGCAGGCATATGGGTGGGTTAGTCACATGATTGCTGCCATGGTGGTATGCTATTTGGGAGACAAGAGGAAGCATTTTTCCTGCAAGAGACTTGTCAGACATTTCCAATAGACAAACTCGACCAAAGGTAGTCTATTATCATTTCTATGGTTCTGTCCTTGTCTTGCATCTAATGGAGATTTGCCAAGGTGTGGGGTAGGCTGCCAGTTTGACTTGTGATAGAATGTCTAAAGACTTCCTAAAACCTGTCTATTGGAAATGTATCTATCTATGTCTAACCTGTGCTAGATTCAGAGCATGTTGGGGTAAAATCTAAGCAAAAATTGCTATGCTGAAGCAAAAGGACTAAACTAAGAATAAACTAAGTTTATTCTAGGTTTTTCTAGGTACCTCCATTCAGGGAATAATCTCTGAATTTCTGCCATGAGTAACTGACTGATAGTGGCATTTACTGAGCTCAGCAACATTGGCAAAAGAATAAGGCATTGGTGGGGCAAAGGAGAGAGTAAAGGGCATAAGATCAGATGTGGAAAGCTTGAATATCAATGGAGTGTATTGGGAAGAAGCCATATTGGGACAGTTGAAGAGTAAATGGAAGATAAGTGAAGGAATAGAGACAGTGTGGACCACTTTTTCAAGAACTTCGCAATGAAGGCAGTGTAAGGTTGAGAGAAGTTATTTTAAGACATTAGAAAACTGAAGAGATAGATGAAGATGAACATGGTGATGAGAAGCTGAAGAAATTTCTCTATTGGCTTCTCTTTTCTCTTTAAGTAAGATTTCTATGAATGAAAAAAAGTTCTCAGGAAGAGTTGGTTCAATTCATTTGCTTCTTGGACTCAATTAATTTACCGGAGTGGCTCTCAGAACTCAGGAAAACTCTTACTTACAATTACTGGTTTGTTCTGAAGGATATTATAAAAGATAGGTTTCACACATCTAGAGAAGTTTAGGTATAGTTTAGCCTTATAACATGAGAGTGGACTAGATTAGAATAACAGGTAAAGAATCTTTCAAGAAAAAAAAATACAGTTGTCCCTCTCTATCTGTGACTTCTGCAACCATGGAGTCAACCTGCAACCATGGAGTCAACCAATCACAGATCAAAAATATTTTTAAATTATAAAATTATATAATATAATTAAATTACATTTAATTATATATTAATATAATTAAATTACATTTAATTATATATTAATATAATTAAATTATATTGGTAAATATGTTACCAATATAGTATAACAACTATCTACATGGTGTTTACATTGTGTTAGGTATTATAAATTATCAAGAGAGGATTAAAGTAAACGAGAGGATATGCTTAGGTTATATGCAAATACTATGCCATTTTGTATCAGGGTCTTGAGGGTCCATATATTTTTGGTATCTGAGGGAGGACCTGGAAGCAATCTCCCATGAATACAGAGGGACAAGTGTATTCCTAGATCCCATCCTAGATCTACTGGATTAAAATTGAAATTCCTGAACCTAGGAATCTATATACTTTTTAAGTTCCCTTAAAGATTCTCATAATCTGCCAGGTTCTGCAAATGGTGGACTTGATGACTTCTTGAAGTCCTTTGCAAAACTTTGACCTTAATTCCTATTCCAGTTCTGATAGAAAAAGTTGTAATAAAGTATATTATAAAGTATAATAGAAGTCATACAAATTATTTTGTTTTGATAGTTTATTTTTTTACATAATTTAGGAAATTCACCAGGAGAAGCAGTTACAAACAAAGTGGAAGCAAATCAGAAAGGGGTTTCTTTGTCTCCAGAGCCAACCCATTTGCTCTCCTCACTTTCCTCATTTCAGCCCAAAATATTTACACAACTGCAGGTAAGTATCCAATGAAGTGGCCAGACTTGAGGCCCTTTTCTTTATTCCGCAATCTCTCCTCTTCTTCTAGGGATTTTAGAGAATTGTTATAAAATTATAATAATGAACAAGTATGTGTTCATTATTAATTTCTTGACCTCTTTGTCCCTTGATTTAAGATAATTCAAACAGTATGTTTTGAAAAAGTTTGAGGTTGACTATGAATGCAATAAATTTAGTTGTACTACTTTTCTCTTTGTTCTTGTTTCTGTCCTCACTTAATATTTTTTAGTAATACTCATTTTATTTCTTCCAATTTTTTGCCAAAAGTAGAATATATCCTAAGAAATATCATACATAGTAAATTCAAATATTTTGATGTAACATTTTTTGGTTTAAAAGGGTTTGCAGTTGCAACCAACGTTCACCTCTCCTGATGGATCACCAGCTCTGATATCAGTAAATAACCAGCCCTCCTCCAGTCCTTCAAGACTTCTGGATTCAATAGGAAATGCTATAATTGATAATCATTCTCTAATGCTTGATCAAAGTCATAGCCTTCAAACAGATACATGCCTAACCCAGAACAATAGTACTGCCTCTGCCATGGGTAACGTTCCAGGACCGAATCAAAATCTAGTTGCAATGGACCAGCTGGTGGAAGTTGGAGATGTTGAGGATACAGGAAACCTGGAAGGAACTGTTCATCAGATTCTGTTGGGAGATGTGCAGACCATCCCAATACGGATTATAGGCAACCACCCAGGTCTTAGTAAGTTAAAATCAAGTTATGATTTTTTTTATCCTTTATGGACTATCATCACTGTATCACGCTACACATAAAACTATCATTTCTGCCTTGTGGGTTTATAATATTATATAAATCAAGCAAAATTTTGATAGAAAGGGAGGAAATGTTGTTAGTCAGCCTGATATCCCGCGCCTTTGGGAGGCTGAAGTGAGTGAACTGCCTGAGCCCGCAGGTTCGAGACCCGCCTGGGCAGCGAGACCTCATCTCTACAATAAATCAAAAAATCAGCCGGGCGTGGTAGCACATGCCTGTAATTCCGGCTACTTGGAAGGCTGAGGCGGAAGGATCGCCGGAGCCCAGCGGGTCGAGGCTGCGGTGGTCGGGAGCGGCCACTGCGCTCCAGTCTGGGCTACGAAGTGAGACTCCAACTCAATAAAAAAAAAAAAAAAGAAGAACTTTTAAACTATAAAGTTTTTTTCTTCTTTTTATTTCTAACTAGAAATGTATTATAGTGGCTTCACATGCTGCGAAAACTAGAATAATAATTGGAATTATATCGGCTAATGTAAAAATGTAGATTTAAGATTATGAGAGAGCCTATGATGAACATTGATAATACTATGCCTTTTAAACATGATAATGAAATAGGAGGTGTAGCCGGGCTCGTTGGCTCAGCCTGTAATCCCACGCCTTGGGAGACTGAGTTGAGTGGATTGCCTGAGCCCGCGGGTTCGAGACCCGCCTGGGCAACTTGGTGAGGCCTCATCTCTACAATAAATCAAAAATTAGCCGGGCGTGGTAGCGCACACCTGTAGTTCCAACTACTTGGAAGGCTGAGGTGGAAGGATCGCTGGAGCCCAGCAGGTCGAGGCTGCCGTGGCCGGGAGCGGCCACTGCACTCCAGTCTGGGCGACAGAGTGAGACTCCAACTCAAAAAAAAAAAAAAGAAATAGGAGGTGTGACTAATGGGAGTAATTATTTAATCCCATTGAAATTACTTATTCCTGGGCCAGAGTGGTGGCATGTGCTTATAATCCCAGCACTTTGGGAGGCAGAGGTGAGAGGATTACCTGAGCCCAGGGGTTCGAGACCAGCTTGGTAAACTTGGCTAGACCGCATCTCTACAATAATTCAAAAAATTAGCCAAGCATGGTGGCGCATGCCTGTAATTCCAGCTACTTGGAAAGCTGAGGTGGAAGGATCACCTGGAAGGATCGCCTTTTATTTTTAGGATTGAGTCTGCAGTGGCTATGAGCATGCCACTGCACTCCAGCCTGGGTGACAGAGTAAGACTCTGACTCAAAAAAAAAAATTACTTATTTCTTAATTACCTAGTTTTCCCAGGGAAATCTCTGGTGATGTGAAGCCAGGAATGTCATTTTAGAATACATGAAAAAAAAATTGATAGGAGCAAATAAAACAAGGAACACTATTTCAATGCAAAGTTATTTTGGAAAAATTGATTATGTACACTCACAAAAAAAGATGGAATGAAAGGTCAGGTGCAGTGGCTCATGCCTGTAACCCCAGCAATTTGGAAGGCCAAGGCAGGAGGATCTCTTGAACCCAGGAATTTGAGACTAACTAAGGTACATAGAGAGAACTCCTCTCTGTGGAAAAAGAAAATTAGTTGGGCATGGTGGCATGCACCTGTAGTCCCAACTACTTGAGAGGCTGAAGCAGAAAAATCACATGAGCCCAGGAGGTTGAGGCTGTGGTGAGCCATGATTGTGCCATTGCAGCACTCCAGACTGGGTGATAGAGTGCTGACTCAAAAAAAAAAAAAAAAAAAGGAATAATTGGACAGATATAAAGATTAAAAGGAAGATTTCTAAATTATAGACCTAAATATTGAGTTCTTTGGAAGCTGAAAGAGAAAGAGTAAGACTTGGGCAGTTGAGTTTATTCTAAAACCTGTTATCTTCACTTTATTACTAACCCAGTCAATGTAATATTAAATTCTGTTAACTCATACTTGATCTAACTCTGTCACTTCTTTTCCCACAAATTGTTTGAATTGGGCACTCTTGTAGGAAAACATTTACAGTTTGCTTTGAAAAAAGTCTCTGCAGAAGATATTTTAGGGCCGGGTACAAGCTCAAGCCTATAATCCCAGCCCTTTGGGAGGCCGAGGTGAGGGGATTGCCTCAGCCCACTGGTTCGAGAACAGCCTAGGCAACTTGGCGAGACCTCATCTCTACAATAAATCAAAAAACTAACCAGGCGTGGTACTATGCGCCTATAGTTCCGGCTACTTGAAAGGCTGAGGCAGAAGGATTGTCTGAGCCTAGCAGGTCAGCTCTGGGGTGACTGTGAGCTAGCCCCTGTGCTCTAGCCCAGGCAACAGAGTGAGACTCCGACTCAAAAAAAAAAAGGTATTTTTAGAATGCATGCAGTATTTTCCCCCATCTTAGTCATCATTTTTCTGGGGAAGGGAAACTGTGAAATAGCTTCTTCCAGAAAAGAATCATTGTCTTTTAAATTTATTGGAAGCATTACTTATAAGAGAATTTTTCCAGTTTTAACTCCTGAGGAACTGTAGTAGACAAGAGGCAAAAGGTATATACTTGAATTGATTCTCACAGCTCCATAAAATAGTTAGTGGTGTCCCCATTCTACAGATGGAGAAACAAGGCTCAGAGAGGTTGAATAATTGTCAGAAGCTCATATCTAGTAGGTGACAGAGAAGAGATTAAACCTAGATCTGTCTGCTTTCCAAAGCTTTTTTTCTTTCTAAAGGCTTCCTCCTTCTTTGTTGTGTCAAGATATTTCTTGGAGTTCTAATCCAGATTGCTTTAAAGGAGATCTCTCTTTGTAACCAAATTTGAATGATTTTTTTTTTCTTTTTTTGAGATGGTGTCTCACTCTGTCACCCAGACTGGAGTGTAGTGGCACGCTCATAGCCACCACAGCTTCAACCCACTGAGCTCAGATGATCCTTCTGCCTTAGCCTTCCACGTAGCTGGAACCATAGGTGTGCACTACCACACCTGGCTAACTTTTTGATTTACTTTACAGAGAAGGTCTCATCAGTTGCCCAGATTGGTCTTGAACCCTTGGTCTCAAGCAATCATCTAGCCTCTGCCTCCCAAAGTGCTGGGATTACAGGCATGAGCTACCATGCCCAGCCTATGTCCCTGTATTTGTTGTACATGTGCCTGCTGTTTGCACAACAAATCTTTTTCAAATGATGGGAGGTTTCCTGGTTTTTAAATCCCTTCTTTTTTCTTTTCAGTTTGTTGTTGTTGAGACAGGGTCTCACTGTACTGCCTTGGCTGGTCTCAAACTTCTGGGCTCAAGCAGTTCTCCTACCTCAGCCTCCCAAGTAACTGAGATTACAGGCATGTGTCACAGTACCTTGCCACACATATTTTTTTATTGTTTGCTACACATTTTTTTTTAATGGTTAAGTTTAAACATGAGATGTTCCTCATAATTTTGTCAAATTATGGACTGTTTTTTGTTATGGTACCTATAGAAGAGAATAACTTATACTTTTCTTATTCTCTTTTTTTTAAATTAGTAGAAGCATACTGATGAAATTTAATAATGAATGACTATTAAAATGTCAGAAACACTGAGTTTTCAAATATATCAACTGCTTTTTTCAATTATTTGGGTCTTTTTCTAAACTTCTAGTTTTTGCTTTGCTTATAAATTCATTATAATTCTAAAGATTTCAGTATTATAAATATATTAACCTTTAGAATTTTTCTTTTATGTTTGGTTTTGAAGTTGAAGAAGATCCAGAAGGTACCATTTCTGTGAGCCAAGTTAAGCAAGAACCCAAAGAACCAGCATTGTCTATGGAAGCAAAAACAAATTTGGACTGTAAGAAATCTGCTACATAAATTATTGAAGTTTTTCAGAATTTGCAACTCTGGCGACTTCTGATGTCTTATAAAAGAAAGTGATTATTGTTAGAACACAGTGTTGTGATAACTGAACTGAAGACTGGTTTGATGAGAAACTTTGATTTAAAACTGATGTGTTTGTTGCCAATTTCATATTTTTATTTTTATTTAGAGATATTTTACTCTTCTTATTTTGTATAATTTTTATGCTTTTTGATTGTCTAATAAGGCCAGTATTTCAAAAGCTCTTCTGAACTTATCCATAGTAATATAGTCTGAACACAAAGAGTTTTCTAACTCATCCTTGGAAATATCCTGTTTTGGTTCTTAGAAGACAAAAAAACAACATCAAAAATTGTGTGTGAATGTATGTTTGAATGTTTGTATATCATGATTTTTTTTTAAGTTCTGAAAGAACTCATTCTCTCCTTTAAGTTATGAAGAAACTTTTAGTTGGCATGCAGGTAAGAGAATATTTGTAGTCTGTTTCATTTGGAAAGATTCTACATCATAACACAAAACCCAGCAGTCACACCTGTGGAAACTGCAGTTTCATTTTAGCTCTTCCATTCTAATTTTTGTTCTTTTAACTACAAATAGCGTACTAATGGCGAGCTAATAGAAATTTAAAGTATTTTGGTAAGTACTGAGAATTTTTACTTGAATTAATCAGATAATCAACAAATAAATATGTAGCACCAATTTATAGTTTATAGTTTATAGAAAGATGTAGAAATTCAGAGAATTTGGAAAGAGTAATAGAATACCTTCGTGTTTACAGATAATTTGGGGGAACTTTTAGATGAGAGCAGAAGATTTTTTTTCCCTTTTTTGTATTGAAGATTCAGCTCTGGTTAGAAAAATATTGGAGTTGCACTTACATTTTTTTATGCCAGAATTTACGAATTGATGGTCTTAGGATTTATAGCATTTCCAGGTAAGTATTTAAAGTTTAAAATTTGAGTTTACATTTAAAACTTTAAAACATCTGATCTGGTGTATTTGCTTTTTAAGCAAGTATATTTCCTTCAAATACCAAATAAGTACTAAGCAATGTATTCATTATAAACATCTATTATCTGGAAGATTAGTAAACTTGAAATGTCAACTGTAACTGTCAAGAAATCAACCTGAAGGGTTTTGTCTTCCAGAGACCATTTGTGGGTATATTTGAAATTTTATTTTTAAAAAAGATTTAAAATGAATATTAATGTTTAATATTTAAAGCATGCACAGTACCATATGAACTTTAACCTTAATACTTTACATGAATATGAGTCACATTTGATTTTTCTAAGTTCGGTCTCCCTTCTTAATTCACATGTTTCAGGTACACGACACGTATCTAAGTATAAAGCACTGTTATAGTAGAAGGAGGAATTCTAAAATTCCTTGCTCTTTAGATTTATATTTTATTTAATATAAAGTATATTATTTATACCCTATTTAATGCAATGTTTGTATTTAGTTATATGTATGATTTTTAATAAGAATTGCATTTCTTTTTCCTAAGAATTGAAAATATTTGAAGTTGGCATTTGCAGAGGCAGGTTGGCAAATTTGATTATGTTACTCTAAGTTAAACACAACTCTCTTAGTTACCTCAAATTCAGATTTCCCTTAGTCTGTTTGTACTTAAAAAGAATAAGTCCAAGTGAATTTATAGTGTAGTCTTACACTGCTAGGTAAGCTAGGTAAGATTAATTTCATTTGTTATTTCTAGTTTTTATGGAAATTTTTTCAAGATCTTTTTTTTTTTTGAGTTGGAGTCTCTCTCTGTCACCCAGGCTAGAGTGCAGTGGCATGCTCATGGCCACTGAAGCCTCCACCTGCTGGGTTCAGGTGATCCTTCCATCTCAGCCTTCCAAGTAGCTGGAACCACAGACGTGTGTCACCATACCCGGCTAACTTTGTGATGTATTGTAGAGACAAAATCTTACCAAGTTTCCCAGGCTGGTCTTGAACACCTGAGCTCAGGCAGTCCTCTCACCTCTGCCTCCCAAAGTGCTGGAATTATAGACGTGAGCTACCGCACCCAGCCTTGCCTCAAGATTTTAAATATAGGTCTTCACCTTTCAATAATGGTGATGGTTCATTATTAAACATTTCATCACTTGAACTATATTCTTTTGGAAACATTCCTTATTTGGTGTTGAGTTGCTAAGGAGAAATGCTTGTTAATATACAAACTCTAGTAAGTTACCTATGAGGGTGAGGGATGTCAGAAGATTCAGACTTTGGTTTAAAAAGTCTTTAGTTAAAACATATTTCTCTCACTTCATTCTGTGTGAATGTCTCTTCTGATGTTGTGTGTTTTTTATCATGAGAACAGAAAGTTACAGTGCAACCTCCCCAGAAACAAAAACAAAAACCAAGAGTGTGAAGAAAGGTTTAAATCCCTAATTGTATACTCTTTTGATTTTTAGGTAGAAACTGGAACTATCAATGTTTTCATGTAAGTATTTCAATGAGTAGCTCTTTAATAATGGTTTCTAAATGAGTTTTTAAAAAATTCTTTGTCCTCTAAATGCATGTTTTGTCACAACATGTCAGTATTGTGTTTAAAGGTGCTTAGCATCACTTTTTGAAAACCATGTTTACATATTTAAAGTGTTTAATTATTTTTTAATGCATAAGTTATTAAATACAAGCTCATAAAATTTTCAGTATCTATACTTGGCATTCTCCTAACAGCTCTACAGCAAAGTTTGACATATATTTTTTTGTGTCATATATTACAACGTGTAATATCTGTAGAAGTGTGTTGAACATCAAAACAAGCAGTTAGAAATTCACGATTATGGCTCAGCTTATTTCTTCACTGTGTTTTCATGTTCCAAGCCTTCAGGTGAACTTTATATACAGGACAGTGAATTATAGATAAATATGGCCATGGTGGGCCTTTTCCTCAATACCAATTTTCTATATAAACAGTTTGTGTACTTAAAAGAAAAATATTTTATATCTTATGCAAGGTAAATGTTTCCTAAAAGTCACAAAAATGATAGAAAACATGGGTTTTGGGATCTGGTCTTGCATTAGCGTTTCTAATCTTGAGGCCTACCAGCTTATGTTTCATCTTTATCTCCTGTCAGAATACATTCTTAATCATGTGAGTATGAGAAAGATGTTTAATTTATACCAGGTTTAAAAAGAGGTTTAAAAATGTGTGTGTGTGTGTATATATATAAAGTATATGTGTATGTGTGTATGTATAATAACCTAATGTATAGTGTCCTTGTTATCATGTATATTTTTTCATTAAAAATCTGTGTATTTTTTTCTTATACTTGTTAGTTTTCTTTTTTTTATCTTTCCTGAAGATTGTGGTAGTTTTGTTCATCCTAAGATGCTGAACATACCCAAGAATTTTGGCAAGAGATTTGTGTTCGGTTTGGAATCTGAAAGTTTTTAAATATCAGTGACTCAAATTACCATTACATTTGGGGATATGATGCATTTAGTACCCTGCAACTCAGCAAAGCATCAACATTTTAAAATAGCATATGTAATAAGGTATAAGTAAATTCCTTTCTATCACCCATTTTGGCGCCATAAAGTCTTCAGTACAACTTTATATCTTAGGATTAATGACAGAAGTGTGTGATTTAAAGAAAAAAAATTATTAATTTTCCCCTTTGCTTTTTTTAAACTTTTTTTACTATGTGGCTATTTTTGAAGACCATATATATATATTTTTTGAGTTGGTATCTCACTCTGTTGCCCAGGCTGGAGTGCAGTGGCAACACTCACAGCTACTGCAGCCTTGACTTGCTAAACTCAGACGATCCTTCTGCCTCAGCCTTCTAAGTAACTGGAACTACAGGCATGGGCCACCATGCCCAGTTAATTTTTTTTATTTATTGTAGAGACAAGTTCTCACCAAGTTCCCAGGCTGATTGCAAATTCCTGGACTCAGGGAATCCTCTCACCTCCACCTCTCAAAATGCTAGGATTATAGGCCTAAACCACTGTGCTAAGCTTTATTGATTTCTTATTGAATTTTGAATTTTAAAAATGCATTCTAAGCCGGACTCAGTGGCTCAGCCTGTAATCCTGCGCTTTGGGAGGCTGAGGTGAGTGGAT